TCACCAAGTGATCATCTTCAAAGAAGATTAAAACTGTTTTAATTTTCCTCTTTGAAGATGATCACTTGATGATCGAAACTCGTGTCGAGGTGTTAAAAATAACGATTTGGTGTTGGGAAAAATCTCCAGTAATATTCATCACATAAGCAATGCTTGGGAATTGTTGAATTAGGTCAATGGCGATCCAAATTTTATAATGGTTATGATTACTGACCCCTGACCTGACCTGACCCCAATCTAAGTTAAGGAACGTGAACAAAATCACAAGATCTTCCTCACTGTCGGAAACCACACTGAAAGCCATTCTTAGAACTGAAACTGTTCCACCTAGGCTCTACGGGCTTCCGAAAATACACAAAGCCAACATGCCACTGAGACCGATAGTCAGTACCCCGGCCTCTCCGACCTACCACTTGGCGAGACATCTGGCCTCGCTCCTACAACCCCCATGTGGGAAAGACCAACTCCTACGTCAAGGACTCGACATACTTCGTTGGTAAAATTAGGGGCTTAACGCTGGAGCCGACGGATATTCTAGTCAGCTTCGATGTGGTGTCTTTGTTTACCGATGTCCCACTGGAAGACTCTCTGAGGGGGTTAGCCCACGTGTTCCCGAATGACATCGTCGAACTCTTTAGAGCATATCTCACAGGAAGTTACTTTCAATGGGGGGGAAACTTCTATGAGCAACTAGATGGTGTTGCGATGGAGAGTCCACTTAGCTCAGTGATAGCTAATTATTTCATGGAACGGTTTGAAGGGAAGGCGATAGACACTTTTGAATTGAAGCCGGAAGAATGAATGAATGAATGGAAACACGGAAGAGACGCCCTGAACCGTTTCCTAAACCACTTGAACGCCTAACACCCGAGCATAGAATTCACCATGGAGATTGAGCAAGACCAACGGATAGCATTCCTAGATGTACTAGATGTGGTACAAAACTAACCAACAAAGTGTATCGAAAATCCACACACACACAGATATATACTTGCACGCACTATCGAACCACCATCCTAGCCAAAAGAGAGGAGTTATCTCCACTCTAACGGAACGGGCTCGGAGAATATGTGAACCAAAACATCGGGAGAGGAAACTGAAATACCTGGAAGTAACCTTGAGATCGAATGGGTACAGTGCCTCCGAGACCAGAAGAGCCATGAGACCGAAGTGCACCACGGTTCAGAAAGCGAAAAAGGAACATATGGTTGCACGCGCATACCTACCGTTTGTCCCTAGGGTCACGGATAGAATTGGAAAACTATTGGGCAAACACGACATCGAAACAGTCTTCAAACCCACGAGGAAGATACAACAAAGCCTCTGGTCGGCTAAAGACAAAAGAGACCCATTATCAGCAGCAGGGGTCTATCGCATTCCGTGCACTTGTGGAAAGGTATATATTGGAACCACCAAACGATCCATGGGAACAAGACTAAAAGAACATGAAAGGAACTGCAGACTAGGCCAAACAGACAAGTCAGCTGTGGCAGAACACGCACTGAGTGAAGGAGACCACAGAATTTTGTTTGAAAACACAGAACTAATTGCTCCCAACCAGGGATACCATAGCCGACTGGTACGGGAGATCCACAAACACACGGATAATTTTAACAGAAAAGATGAAGCCTAAAAGGTAGTCATGTAGTCATCGGACAGCAAGCCATAATGGTTAAACCTCTGAAGAATATAGCCACTCGCGCTAGGGAAACGTAAGGAAAAAATTCCAAAAATCCACGGCTTTCAAACTCGAAAAGCAATGACACTGAAAACCTCAGCCGTGAAAGTCTAAACCATTTTGTCAAGACAGTTCTTATTATAAAAACGGTATATGGAACGTCGCTGGAAAAATTATATAGAGCTGCGAAGAGATTATGTTGTAAAATAAATACAAAATATTTGTGTTTTCTTTGTTGGGCCGTGTATTTGTGGACCCACCCTGGTATATGTCAAGACCGCAAAAAATCGATTTTTGTAACCTTTGACCTTAGATTTTCATAGTTGCGTACACCCTGTCATATGTAGGTTTTGAGACAACTTTAAGAACGTCGAAATACAAGTTTGTATGACTTTATAGTTGGGTATCTCAAATTCCGAGATACTTCTCTAATTTTCACTAAGATGGCCGGTGTATCTGGGCATCAGCAAAGACTGCGCTAAGCGATAAGACGGACCATTATTTTTATCACGAAAAAGAGCAAACAAAACCGACGATAAGTGTGTTGTTTTCGCTGTCGTTCCATAGGTCGAGATTTTAGGTGGCAGTAGGCCGTGTGTCGGGTTCAATAACAGTTGAATACTACACGTTGTACCGCACAGTGGTTGCTAGATTCTTAAGTCAGTGCTTCGACTGTTTGAAACGTTTAAAATGGGTCTGGTCGATTATGTGGGCAAGAAATACAAGCTGGCCACGAGTGAGAAGTTTGACGAGTACATGAAAGCGTTGGGTAATATTTTTTGTTATATTTTTCCGGCAAAAATGCTGCAGTATTTTCAGTATAACTTTCAAAAATGATACCTATTGTTATCCTTTCATCGATAGAAAGTTTTGAAAAGTTTTCGCTATTTGAACTCCACCGTATTTAAAAGCAATGGAATAATCTTGACGTGTTTCTTGCATTCTGTTACTTCCCGAATAGTTGTATTAAACGTTCTTCATTCCCTCCAAACTTTCTAGAAATTATCAGGGCCGCACTCGCCCGCTCAAACATGCAATACGAAAAATTATATTTACGGAACTTTTTTAATGTAAGTAACTTCCTCGGTATCCTGTTATGTTTTATCAGTAGGTATCTATTATGACCCAAAACTTCGAGTTTCCAACTTCAAAACTGACGAAATTCAATAATATCTTTAAACCTCTCTTTTTCTCCCTTACGGGTGGAAATTCCTTATTCCCTTGATGCTTATTTACAGCATACAAAGAACCTACCTGCATATTTCAAGATTCTAGATTCAGTAGCTTCGGCTGTACATTTTAATATAAGAGCGTGCAACGGCTAGCTTTCACATAGTATAACATTATTGTTTATGAAATTAGAAGTTCTCCTTCAAACTAGTATTATAATTTATTATGTCCATCATACTTTTTATCGTTAAAAAGGTGTTAAAAATAACGATTTGGTGTTATTTTTAACACCTCGACACGTGTTTTGATCACCAAGTGATCTTCTTTGAAGATGATCACTTGGTGATCGAAACACATGTCGAGGTGTTGAAAATAACAATTTGGTGTTGGGAAAAAACTCCAGCAATATTCATTACTACACCAAAGGTTCCAAACAGAGCATCATAAGCATATTTATTCTGTTATATTTCACATTAGTTAAAACTGTCTCTGTTGAATTTGCAAACTGAACTCCTCCGTTATTTTCCAGGGGTGGGTCTCGTGACCAGGAAAATGGGAAACGCCGTTTCTCCTGTTGTAGACCTCCAAAAGGACGGAGAAGAATATACCCTTAATTCCAACTCCACTTTTAAGAACGTCGTGCTCAAATTCACTCCCGGTAAGGAATTCGACCAGGAAACTCCTGACGGTAGAAAGGTGAAGGCTGTCATCACGGTGGAAGGCGACACGTTGAAAGAAGTTCAGACCAATGCGGATGGAACCATCACCACCATCGACCGAACGTTTTCGGCTGATGAAATCAAAATGGTAAGAAAAATATGTCCAGTAGTAACCAACAAATAAGTATTTAGTTGAAGGGGATTGAAAACGAATTGTTTTTTTTTTTGAGGGCGGTACAAGTAGATATTCCTTTAAAGTAGACCATCAACAGACACACTGCACCCATCAATAGGATCGGCTTGGCTTTTCTTTTGGAAGTTTAAATGCTATGGTAGAGGGGTTAGTCTTAGTCTTTGTCTTAGTTTTAGTGATATTTTTCAGTTTACTTGTAGAGTGCGTTGAATGAAAAGCTTTACAACATGGAAACTAGTTGTTCGTGAACCGTGAACCGTGGATGATGGGTGATGACTGGGCCAGTCATTACCCGAAGACGATTGTAGATACTAACAATCGAAACGTCGTGAACTAACGTGACTTGGAATCTCTCCACTTTTTATTTTTATTTCCTTTTTTCATTCCTTTAACTTTTATTTATTCAATTGTTCTATTGTAGTGTGCTTTGAACACACCTTCTACGAACAGAAAACGTGTTATAAATTTGTATGCCGAGAATGAAAGTGGTTTCGTACCTAACGCTTTGCTTCTGTCGGCCAAAAATATAAAAGATTCGTCTACTGATTACCATGAAGATATGACTGCGGCTTTATTCGAAACCTGATTCAGTGAGTAGCTTCTCCCAAATATTCCTCCAAACTCGGTTATTGTTATGGATAACGCTTCGTATCATTCTCGGTTATTGACAACAATACTAAACAATAACACAAAAAAAGCAGATATTGTTGATTTCATGCGAAATCATGACATGGAAATACCCGAAAAGACTCCAACGAAAAAAGTATTACTGGCGACCATAAAACAACGTTATTTCAAAAAAGAGTATATAATTGATTCGATGTGTGAAACACGTGGTCATATTCTCTTACGTTTGCCTCCATACTATTGTGTGTTCAATCCATTTGAAATGGTTTGGGCCACAATGAAAGAAATCTTGCGGAAATGTAATCAGTCACCGACTTTGAATGCTGTGGTGCTTGACAATATAAGGCGAGTGGTGAATGAAGTAGGTAATAGTGATGTGTGGAAGAACTGTGTGGCCCACGTTATAAAAGAAGAGAACAAATGTTATGTGCTTAGTTCCATAAATCCGATCGTTATTCAACCAGATGATGATTTCACTTCATCCGAATATAGCGAAGAAGAATTTTGATTTTTCTAGCAATTTTGTTGGTCTCTATTATTTTTTAAATATATGTTCGACAAGAATTTGGTGTGATTTTTTGTGTTTTCATTGTATTTTAGAGTTTTCGACTCAGAAATCAACTACCTTGAATTTCGAAGTTTTTCATAATTACCCATGGTGAAAAAATTCAGTTGAGATAACTTTTTCATGGGGTGATCAATTGCTATGATTGTAAGAATAAGTAACTGTAAAACTACCACTAAAAATAATATGCCGACGCCTATGTCGAGGCGGGAATTCCTTCTCTGTGCTGTTCCAATTGGTATTGGAAATACTATACCGAGAGTGAAATTTTTCACTCTCAGACAATACCGAATGTACTATATCATAGTAACTATGGTGCGTCTGTAATGATGAACTTATCTCAGAAATACACTACTCAGCAATTGAATTGAACAACTTCAACCTAAAATATGACTTGATAACTCTTCTATATCATTAGCCTTTATGGGATTTCTCGACACTGCTTGTAACTATGTAGGGTGCTAGTTTAATTCCTGCTTCCTTTTTGACCTGTAGAATCGGTGAAGATTACTAGGTACTCATGAAAAACAAACAGCCCATTGACAAATGCAGCATTACGGCACTGGAATCAAAAATAACATCACATACAATCAGCAACAACACTTGAAGAAAATTGGTGAAGCTTTTCATAAATGATAATGACCGGTCTACGGCCAATAATAGTGATAACCAATTTACAATGATAATAACGATGTCTACTGCAAATGTAGACGAAATGCCAGCCCAAATACGGATACTCTTAACACTGCATTGCGCTAATTTTTATGAATGACTTCTTATCATCTACTGAAGGAACGTTATATTTCTTCAAGTTTTAACAGGGAATGCAGACGACAGATGAACATATAGTATACGACTCTATTTCCCATCAATCGAGTGTTAGACTCATCCTCAATTAGATAATGGTTCGTCAAATTAGGTTCAATTGTTGATGAATACAGCTATATTTAGACTCAAATTGTGCGTCAGTCGATACAAGCTCGTCTAATTCTATTCAACGTCGGGGTAAGGATTAATCATGGGTTTGTTGAGATCACTATACGGGGTGTTAGAAAGATGTATTTCTACAGGGGGTTCTACCAGAAATCACATAGATGAGTATTTGTAGAAATCATAGTACTAGATGTGTCCTATATGCCATTTTTTGCTGATATGAACAACTGCACTTGTATGAAGTTCTCTATTAAAATTTTCATATTTTCCATGTGAATAGGTGTGAGATATAGAATGCCTAACTTATCATTTTAGTAGGTATTACATCATTGTCTACGGGTATTGACTTGTATGGCTTCAAGTTGGTCTTTATTGATGTGTTCAGAGTTGAAATCATCATCAGGACAAATGAAATTAGCGCTGTCGAGATATAGCTCATATGATTCAACTGAGTAGAATTTAGTCAGTATGAAGAAGAGACCTGAGAAAGATATTGTATAGCGAAACACGTGTTGCGATATTGTAAACGTTGTATTGAAAATCTCAAAATGAGGTGTTACTCGAATACTGAAAAAATCACAACAAAGTCTCAATTGTGAAGTATACTCCATATACACAAAGAACAGTTGTAAATATTTTTTTATATACAGTTCTTATTTCATTTTTAACAATCTATCCGTTTTGGTGCACTTCTATCAGTTTATATTATATCTTCAAATGGAAATCTTTCAATGATTTACTATCATATATATCTTTTTGGGGCAATATATCAATGGAGACAGTGTAATCACCTTGAAACAATAAATATTTCAAACAATGTTTCTGACAAGTGACAAGTATCTTCTAAAGATATATGGATTGATAGATGATTTATTGTTCGAACTAATTGTGATGACGGTAAACCAATAATGGGTTAATAAAACTCATTTAGATAACAGAAATGAAGGAAGAACCATTTTTCTAAGTTGCTATTTTCATCTTGATGTTATTAGACTAGGACAAATAAGAGTAATATTCTACAGACACCCCTATAAAAAATTGTATTTTCAGAAAAGGCTTGCGATTGATTGTAGACATTGGTAGACAAGATATTTCTTTCTATCAACCTGTCCATCTTTTCTGGGGATTTGTCACCTCCAACAATATAAAAAAAGTTGTAATGGGGGTCGTTTTTTAGGTGATTCACCCCGATAAGTTGTTTCGTAAATTTCCCAGAAAAAATATATTCTATTCGCTTAGCACTTCATAATTGTATTTAAAGAAAGAGGGATATGACATTAGTTATAAAAGGTGTCAGTGGTTATTCAACTGCTAATTGTTGAGTTGGTAGTGGTTGGATTGGTATTACTGTAATCTATTATATCTTTGAGTACGTCCAGAAAATAACATAACTGGTCTTATATTTGTGAATTCAATAAAAAGAAGTAGGTTTCCTTCTTTATTTTCTACCTCCTCTTTTTCTTATAACTTTCAAAATCATTATTCTTCAAATCGGTGCAAAGGAGAAAGTGAATAACCTCTGATTTCACTTGACTTGAAGTGATGTTTTGTTATTTGGTAAATGAGAAGTCTCTATTAATGATTATTCGAAATGAGTGATAAGCTTAATATAGTAGAAACGAAAAATTTCATTCTGAGGTTATGTATCGGGAAATACACGCCAAGTTATAAAACTCGTGGTCAATACTTCGTGTAGTGTACTGACAAAAGAACTGAACATTGGAGTGGAGTAGAGTACTTTATTTGACCATTTCACATACTATAGTATATTTATGGCAAGTCACGGATACAGAAATCGTTTTTCGGAGTTACAAAGATGAAAGCATCTACTAAAAAAAATGAAGTTGAAGAGTGTAGGTCAATCGAAAGTATAAATATAAAATCAATAAACCAAGGATTTAATGAGGTCTTTCACAAGTTGAAGACCCTGCCATGTCAATATATTCCTTAAAGTGTGTGTTCCAGGCAGAAGTAACGGCCATCAAACACTGTATAGGGGAAAACAGGCAGGAGGTCACAAATAAAATCATTGCCGTTTCCTCCGACAGCCAGGCGGAGCGTACTCAACGAGCTAAGTACCCAAAATAGGGTCACTCTAGCTTGGGTACCCGAACATGGGTCACAAGGGCAATGAAGGGGCCGATGTTCTAGCCCCTGAAGACGCATCCAAGGTCATGATCGGCCAAGAACCCCTCTGCGGGGTAGCGAAAGCATTTATAAAGACATCCATAAACTCATGGATGCAAGCCGAATTGATCAACAATAGTGGACCTCAAACGCCACGATTCATTTCTTTGAGATCTGACTTTATGTTGTTTATTTCAATATGTTGGTACCTATTTGCGACTTTGTGAGATAAGACTGGACGACCTTGATAGCTATGCCCCGCACACCATAGTAACTCATTTCTTAAATCAAAATAGTAAGTATGTAAGTAAGTAATAGTAAGTAAGTCAAAAGCCTTTGTCAGATCACATAGAGACAAAGAAGAGTACTTTCCCTGATCAAGACCTTTGACTATGTTGGAAATTACATTGTAAGCTGCATGATTAGTTGGCCTATTCCTTCTAAAACCATATTATGAATAAATTGAAAGAGAATATTTCTAGAAGAGATTAATTTTTGGGAAAGAATCGAGTGTTTTTTCTTATAATGTCTCACGGCATAACATCGGATGTCTGGCAGTGAGGATGACAGTATTTCATGTAGTGAAATTTTACTTGTTTCATTAACTATATTGTGTAGGAATCCTGTGAATGATATCTGATTCGATTTCGTGCGAATGTTTGGAATACAAACGAAATAAAGAAAACTGTTTTTCGTATACCTAATTCAGCGTTCATATAAAGGTGTTGGTTTCGAATGCATTTTTCTTTCGTGTAATTCAATGTTTATATATCAAAATTGCTATTTCAAGAGGGACTTTTCTTTCAGTTTATGTCTGAAAGTTACTTCTTTGCATGATGTACACATCTTTGTGCAGAGTCAATTTTTGAAATTGATTGCTTCCTTCCTTTGAAACATTTCCACATTTTGAGTATCAAGATGGGGAGGTAGAAAGCCAATTCAACGCGTTTCTTTCAATATAGCCCAACATTTCCCACTGGTTTTAAATTCCAGTCACTTTATATTAAGTGTCTATTGATGAAGACAATAAAATTTAACAACGCGCAACAAAAGCTGCATTCAATCGCTTCAAATTCAATCAGCACCAAAATCGTTACCGCTTCCTGTGCCTCCCGGACCGACTGCGCATGCGCTGCGCACAGCCCTAACCTCTTAAAGTGGCGTGACTTTGAGAAACGTTATTCGCTTTTTATCTTTTATTGTCAGTAGTTAGTGGTTCTACGTAACGTTAGTGTCGCCTCTGTACACACACAGTCTAAGTTATTTGCTGGAACTGACAAAGTAAGTTTTTTTTAACTCCCGATCCTTTTTGAAAATTTCGAGCGATGCAAATTTGACACGTGAAGGCGTTGGCTATTTTGTCTTGGGTTTTTTTTCGATGACGAACCGATGACGAACCGGCATTCCGGATTTAATGTAAAGGGAATACCTATTCTATTTCAAGAAACTGAAGGTGTTTCTGACATACATTCAGATTGTTCAATGAAATTCATTCGAGTTAGTTCAAGAACGACGCTCATCGTCAGTTAGCGTCCTAACCTTCAATATGAGTTAGACAATTAAAATGGGGTTGAAGTAAAATATTGTTTGTAGACTTTGACAAGTGAATCTAAACATACATTCGGGTAGGTACTAAGAATAAATTAAGGCCAATTTGGGTACTTCCCTGGCAGGAGTGATGAGTTTTGACTGTTGAACGCGGGTAAAAGCAAAGTAACTCATTTCAAATATTTCGTGGATGGTCAGTGGCTGCTCAATAAAATTAATTACGGGGTTTTGCACCATGGTATAAAAGTTAATTTGTTTTTAGATGGATTTTCAAGATGTATAGGTAATCTCTCATCTGCAATTAATATTGAAAAAGTTCCCAATAAGATTCCTTTGTATACCGGGTGATCGAAGTTAGAGTGGGTATATGAAGATCTAATGAAAAATTGAATGGAGCAAAAAAGGGTTCACTAATATAATTGAAAATATGGAAAGTTTAGTAATGTAGTAATGAGCTGAAAGGAGGCAAAAAATGGAAATTCAAATAAAAATGGAAAGCATAAATGTAAAGAGTACAATATTCTCTATCGATCAGTATATACTATGACATACTTTATACAAAATAATATGACATTAAAGCGGACAAAAGTTTTGAAACAAGCCAATACAAATATGAACAAACTACCCTTACCTATTGAGTGACATTAAATTAATTCTTAGTATATCTCATTGTGTTATATTGTTATTGTACCTAATAGAAGTAGTTAGTGATATTATTTAGATTAAATAACAATATAATACAAGGAGCTATACTAAAATTGTAATAATGATAGGAATAGTTCGTCCAAACGTCACAATTTCAATCACTGTCACTGTGTAGTCTTATTTTCGTATAATTCAAGAATGATGACAGCTAGATGTCAATTTCAGGGCGTAAGTTTTATCGCAGTTGGGGAGAAACGTGTTTCCGCTGGAAAACTCTATTTTGGGGGCTTAGCTTTCATTGTTTTCATCATTTCATCGGTTTGAAGGAAATAATCGCTGAAAAATTTTGTTTTGGTAGCCTACCCTTCAATTTTCTTATAATTTTATCACTTTGAAGGTAATTATCGATTAAACTTTTTGGTCTTGTATTATGACTTTCGAAAAACATTCTTCCCAGTTGACCGATATGAAAATAGGGAGGAGAACCAGATGGTAACTTCAATAGCTAAAATATATGATGAAACTGACCCATGCTGGAGGAATATCCATTATAACATATTCAAAATGACCTCTTCAACGTGTGAAAACTTGAAAGTTTGCAGTTTTTTAACACGTGTTTTGCTATACGAGAGCATATTTTAAGTAGTTCGGTGTCCTAACTTTAACATCAGTTTATATTCTTGAACCGTGTATGTATGTGTTTGTTACAAACTAAATAAAATTTTACAGCTAATATAACCCTTCATCAACATGATAATAGAACCAAGAACCATATTTATTTGCCCTTAGCTAGAATAAAAGTCATGTGAACCGGAATACATTGGTCCAACTATATATAACCACAAGTGAAACTATCACATTGAAGTGTGTTGTTGAACACGTTTAATAGCTAATCTATGCGCCTAAATTCTTATTTGTTCTGCAAGTTATATCCGAGACTCTAACAACGAGCGACTTCATTATACCCAAAGAGATGCATAAAAAACTTTTGTTTTTCTCTATCTTCGTAATAACTGAAAATACCAAAATTCATAATTGATTTATTTTCATATGAATGTGATCTTCATTTGAAGTGTTTTTTTTTCAGAAAATATAAAAATGGTTGATGCATTCCTTGGAAAAAAATATAAGCTGAGCACCAGCGAGAACTTCGATGAATTCATGAAGGCCTTAGGTGAGTCATTTTGAAGTCCCCAACAGCGAAGTGGAGTATATAACCCAACTGATGCATTCAAATGATTCAGTTGACCCTGTTTTTTGGTGTTTTTCAACGAAATCATCACGAATTTCCATCAGTAAATCAGGAAATCGTAGACATATCGACTTTTAATACTAGTTCCTGTAACAGACAACGAAAGCTATATATAAAGTTATCTCTGGAGTCCGTTAAACCTAGTTAAGATTATCTAGTTCGGTTGGGTTGAAATCTGGAAGTTTTAATGGCTGATATATTGATAAAAGTTCTTAATGTCGTATTCTGAAAGAAAGTTTGGTGGTCTTATAGACAGAACCTACTGCAACTGAAGATGACTGCAGCAGTTGCAGTTGAAACGTTTGGTGATTATAACCAAAGAAAACCACGGTAAATTTGGAAACCAACCAAAACAAGTTGTGAAACGTTAAGAAAAAAATCAACATTTCACAATCTCAGAAGTGAAGACTTGCTAGAAATGGTACATATGGACTTATGATTTCAATAATGATGTATTTGCTTGAGAATCTCAACTTTCAACTGTTGATTCACAAGTTGGGATCGCTTTTTCAATTTATGTTTTTTTTTTTGGAAACCTACTATCACTTATTTCAAAATTTCTAAACTACCGTGCTTTTTCTCGCAAATTTACCGAATAATAATGTTTCAATTTGAAATCAAGTTAACTATTGTGATAAGAGAAATTATACAACAGTTTGAAATGATGAAAAATCATTATACAGTGCGAATGTAAATAATCGTCCCCTCTAAACTTTTGAACAGAACAAGATATCAAAGACGGACGAAATGTACGCAAAAAGGTATAATTTTTAGTACTTCTTGATAAGAAAGACAATAGAGTCGCCAAAAACTTTTTTGTTGGAAGAAGGGGGGTTTTGTAATAGATATTTTGATTCTCTTTGTAACACTTTTTTTATTTTTGAAAATACTGTTCCCAAAAATGTCTGATCCTAATTGGCGAAGGTTCTGCCGGTGAGAATGTTATTGGAGTGCTTGAAAAGATGGTATAGTGTGCTGCTAACTGGATTAGTTGACCCTTGGAATGCGTTTTACTGTCGTGCACATTCTGCTGGATTATTTTTACGCTTGAAGTTCAAGTGTAGAGGTCAATGTCCGTGACAAAGTCCGCAAAAACATCAATTTTATGTACTTTCGATATCCAGTACTTAGTGATTTTTCATGCTTTCTATTTTCTATAGAGTGGCAATAAAAACCTAGATGCGGTATTTTTGCGACATGTTCCGATGTCAAGTGTGAAGACTTTATTTTTCACATTTATCAAGTAGGTATTATAACTGTAAGAGTGCCGAAAAATATTTCATTACACTCGTGTTAGTACTACTCTAAAAATGATTTCGAAGAATGGGCCATCGCAAGGCAGAAGTTGTCCTTTTTCAAAAATCAAAAAACTCTTTTGTAAGGGGAACACGATATGAATAGAATCCATTGGAAGACCTACAACCAGTTTAATAAGCGACTTTCTATCCTATGTCACCCATATTTGGAATAACGCAATCGAGAAACATGGAGATTCAAGAGCTGTTGCGCTTGATGTTTCTGAGGCCGTTGACCGTGTGTAGCATGAGGGTTTGCTGGCCAAACTTCGATGCTATGGCTTGTCGAATCATTTTTGTGTATGGTTCTTCAGCTTCCTGAAAGAATGTTCCCTGCAAGTGGCCGTCGATTGATATCTGGGGTGTAAGTAACCAGGTTCACCAAGAGGACTAAAACGGAGGGTCTCGGATCTCTAAAACTTCGAGGTGAAGAAATACAAGTGTCAGGAGAGGTTAAATATCTGGGAGTAATCCTAGTTTCCAAACTGACCTGGAACCAACACTTGGGCAGGATAAAGAGGAAAGCGGAGGTAGCACTGATGCTCGCCAGACGCACCTATGGAAAAACATGGGGGCTAAAACCAGACATGGTATATTGGCTATACACAATGGTGATTAAACCCATGTTAACATACGCATATCTGGTCTGGTGGCCAAAGATGAAGCAGGCGACCGTCGTCAACAAACTAGGCCAGGTGCAAAGACTTGCATGTTTGAGAATGACGGGAGCAATGAGAACTACCCCAACAGCTGCATTGGAGACGCTCCTGAATCTACCTCCTTTACACTTTGTGATAATGGGGGAGGCTAAGATGGGCCAATTCAGACTGGAAAACCTACCGAACTATAAAAGATCGGACCGAACAGAAATTTCGGAACAAGTGGAGGAGCACATATTGAATATGTGCACGAACCACATGACACCAAAGTACACCTTTAACACAAACTTCACGGCCAAAATCATAAGCCGTGAAGAGTGGAACACCATTAGTCATTCCGAAAACATGTTTGGAAAAAACACCTGGTATACAGATGGATCGAAGACCAAACATGGAACGGGAGCTGGAATATACCGAGCGGATAGAAGACTAAACTACAGCTATCCGCTAGGACAATAGACATCCGTCTTTCAGGCGGAAGTGTATGCTATCTTGCAGTGTGCAAGGCTTATTAAATTGAGACCTCAAAGAAATGAGCGGATCAATATTTTTGCAGACAGCAAGAGAGCGCACTAGGGGCTCTGACAAACCCGAAGGTGACATCGAAACTGGTCTGGGAATGCCATGAAGGACTGAATGAACTTGCAAACAGGAACAAATTAACTTTGTACTGGGTGCCAGGGCATTCAGGAATCACAGGTGATGATAAAGCTGATGAATGCGGATCATCAACTTCATACATAGGTCCTGAACCAGCTTTGGGGGTATCAAAATCATTGGTAAGAAACCAGATTAGGACATGGACCAATAAGAAGCACACAGGGTACTGGACAGAAGTTCATGGCAACAAACACAGTCACATTTATCAAGTAGGTATTATAACTGTAAGAGTCCGAAAAATATTTCATCAGACTCGTGTTACTACTACTCTAAAAATGATTTCGAAGAATGAGCCATCCGCTTAGAGGACACCTGAATAAAATGGGGCTGTACAACGGACACCTCAGCTGCAGATTATACAACGAAGGGATAGAAACAGCTCTACACATCTTATGCAAATGTGAGGCACTGAATCACAGGAGGCAGGTAATATATGGACGTACGAAATTACGTCCAGAAGAATATGACGAACATCCAACACGGAACCTGTACAAACTAGTACAGGGAACGAGACTGATGGAATGGGTGTCATGAGAAGATGGGAGAATAAACGCAATAAGTCCAAGAGGCTGCAGTGTTTTTTGGAGACTTGGACTAAATGGACAAGTCAGACAGCTCTCAAGGTACAAAAACAAAACCAGGTTAAATTCACTGCCACAAAAACCCAGGCATCGATTTACTCCGAGAAGATAAATGTCTCCGAGCCGGATATAATAATGTCAGGTCAGACAATTCCGCTTTCTGCTTCGATAAGTTTGTTGGGGGTTAAAATGGGCACAAATATGTCTTGTCGCTGAAGTTGCAAAGGCTGCTCCTCAAAACTGTACACACCTCAGCAACTTTTGATGCTTTATAAAGCTCAGATTAGACCTTCTTTGGAGTATTGTTCTCATGTATGGAGCTCTGCGCCCAAACATACCCTGAAGTTGCAGGAATCCATCCAAAAAAGAGCCATTCGCCTGATTGGAGACCCGAACATCACGTGCAACCTTGATAGCCTGGAGCATCGAAGAAGGGTTGGAGATTTGTCTCTCCTCCATAGATACTTTCACGGGAAGTGTTCAAGTGAGTTGGCACATTTGATTCCACCAAGAGCGGCACATATCAAAAATACGCGACGAATTGTTGCTGCTCATCATTTTGAGGTTCAACTTAGTACATCTCGAACTTCACTGTTTAAGAACTCTTTCATCTGGAGAACTGCGTTTATGCGGAGTAAACTTCCTCCAGCGACTCAAATCCAATGTGAATCGCTACTTTCGCACAGGAACCGCTCTTAGAGCGCCTTAAGGATTTTCCTATAGTGCTTGTGTTTTGTCGAAAAAAAAAGAATCACTATTAGAAAGAAAACCATCACATGAGCAATGCTCAGGAATTGTTGAATTAGGTCAATGGCGATCCAAATTTTATAATGGTTATGATTACTGACCCCTGAAGAACACCTACACTGATGTCAAGATAATCCGAATAACAAGTGGTCACCGTTTTCTCAGTTACTCCTGAGAGAGTAACGTACTGGCGACGGGAGTGCAGATAAGATTTTATCCATTCTAGAGCAAATCCTTCAACACCAACTTCAATTAATTTAGTTATTAGGGTGGTATGGTTGACGCGGTCGAAAGCCCTGCTTACATCACAGAATATCCCAACATGACTTTCGGTTGCATCGACCAGGTTAGTAAGATTTTCATAAAAGGAATGGACAGCACTGCCTGTAGATTTGTTTTCTTGAAATCCATGCTGATTCTCGATTATTCAAATATTTTTTGAAAATATGGAGGGAATGGTTATGGGACGATAATAACTAACCAGTTAAGGCAAGGAACTGGCTGCCGCTGCAAGAAAGCTCCCTCAAGTGTACACCTCCACGGAGGGAACCCCAAGAAGGTTGAAGACGCCGCGCAACAACAGTAATGTCGCTGCACCTTCCAAAACCTTCGTGGAGGCCGCTGTGAGATACCTCAAGGTTGCCAAAGAGAGTATGTTCAGCGAGTCTTGGCCTACACCTGCCGATATAAAGGAGATGCTTCCTAGTGACCTGCCCACCTTCCTGGAAATGACAGGATGGACGATGACCTAGGAGTACAACTCCTCTGGAGGATGTACAATGGGTCACGTGTGGCCTAAGTGCTGTATACACTCACCCTCCCGGCTATATACATACATACAAAGGTAAAACTATCAATGGCGAGTATTATGCGAACTTTTTGCAACGTTTGAATGAAGGAATCAAGCAAAAGCGGTCGCAGGT